AATATATTGTTGAAAGGACTATACTACCCTTTTAGTTAATAATTGAAAACTAAACATTTCCCCACTTATAAAAACTTCAAAACGAGCTTCCAACACAAAAAAAAACTCTCATCTTTTCATCTGGTTGAACCTCAAAATCTAGAAGAACTTTGGAACGTTGAAGTTGAAAATCTTTTTCACATCAATTATTTCAAATCGGTAAGTACATTTACGCATGTTTAATTTCGTTTTAAGTAAATTAGTATACGTTTAAATAGAGAAATTTTAGGTCGACATAAATTTTTTTAACAGAACCTATCAAAAAAAATTAAACAGATGTATAACTTACGTTTAAATTACGCATGCTTAATTTCATTTTTAGAACGGTATTCTCCTACGCCAAACTGGGTAAAGTTTAACAAACAGTCGGAAACAGTCCGGCTGTTGGCTGTTAAACAGCCGAACAGCCAATTGGCTGCAGCTGATTTTTAATGCCTTTTTCTTTCTTATAATTAATATTTGAAGTTGATTAAAACCATTTCCTCATGCAGATATGATAATCCTCGTGTGTTATTTCGATGATTTCGAATTGAATGAAAATAATCGGTGGGAATGGAGATGGACGAGTGACATACGTGGTTGTATTGCAATTCCCATAACAGAGAGTACACCATACTTAGAAATGTACCACGATTTGCAAAATAAGCTGAATGTCGATCAATCTCATTACGATATGCAATTGAGATATCTATTCAACGGTTATGGGGATTTATCCATTCCGATGCCATCGGTATTCGTTACTAATGATGCTGAATTGAATTATCTATTAGAATTGAATAAAATGCATCGGACTCCGATTGTTCTTGGTGTGACTTTAATTACGAAAGATGTTATCGAAGGTGAACGCGAAGATTCAGATAGGGCGGATAACAATGATCGAGGTTTTTGGGAGACAGTGGAGATAGTTCCTGGGGATGATGTGGGTATTCCTGAGACAGTTGCTTCTGATCGTGATGTCGCTGTTACGCGCAGAATTTCGTCGATAGTTGAAGACAATGAGAACATAAACGAGTTTACAAATGAGAATTTGATTGCTTTATCCCGACAGAGACACGAGCCTGGTGGGAGCTCACATGTTGGAACAAGTGGACCGTCCTCCAATTCTTCCCGTGTGGCTCCCGATGATGAGGACTTGCAGGTCGAGCAACTGTTTGAAACCAAGAAAGATTTGCAGGAAGCTGTGCACCGGCTGGCATTAAAATATAAATTTGAGTTCAAGGTAAAGAAATCAAACAAGTCATTGTTGATAGTTGCTTGCGTCAAAGACAGTTACAATTGGCGCTTGAGAGCAACTAAGATGGATACGAATGAGTGCTTCGTAATTCGCAAGTATTTACGAGAACATACTTGCGAAGTGGGAATTCTTCGAAACGATCACAGGCAAACTCGAGCATGGTTTATTGGTCGACAGATAATACACAAGTATCAGGATCCACAGACGATCTACAGACCTTCGGACATCATTAACGACGTCCGTCGAGAGTACGGAGTGGTCATGAGCTATCAGAAAGCGTGGAAGGCCAAAGAATGTGCGTTGGAGGATTTAATGGGATCGGCTGAAGAGAGCTATACTAAATTGGCTAGGTATTACCATAACATGGGGACAACTAATCCTGGCACGACATTTTTTATTGAGACGGGGGGCGATAATTGTTTTAAATATTTCTTCATGGCTCTCGGACAATGTATTCGGGGTTTTCGAAATGTAATGCGACCGATAATTCTAGTTGATGGTATGACTCTGAAAGCTAAATATCAAGGCAAATTAATTATTGTTACATGTCAAGATGTCAACATCCAAATTTACCCTATTGCATTCGGCATAGTCGACAGCGAGAATGATCTGTCCATGCGTTGGTTCTTTTCTAAACTGAGGGAAGTGATCGGGGAAGTCGAAGACATTGCCTTTGTAAACGATCGAGGACAGTCTATAATAAACGGTATCGCTGAAGTTTTTCCCGAGGCGCATCACGGTATTGCATGTACCACATACAAGGTAATTTGAAAATTAGGTATCGGGGCACAGGCATCTTTTCATTGTTCAGGAGAGCAGCCGAAACTTACAGTGCTGAAGAGTGTAATAAGTTCATGCTCGAGACAGGAAGTAAATCATTACCGGCGTTGGAGTATCTGACGAAGATGGGGATCGAACATTGGGCGCGGTCATACTTTCCAGGACGTCGATACAACATGATGACGTCGAATAACGCGGAGTCTCTCGATGCATTGTTTAAGAAGGATCGAGAGTTACCAATTCTCGCAATGATTGAGAACATTCGTAACAAGCTACAACAGTGGTTTCATGACCGACGTGCGGCATCACAGAGTTGCAATAGCGTGTTGGCCCCATCTCAAGAGGAAAAACTGTTTAAGACGGCAGAGGTTGCAAGGAAGTTGAATGTGGAAGCACTAGACGAGTTTTGCTTCTCCGTGCAATGTGCACGTAATACGGTATATATGGTGGATTTGACTGATAACACATGCACTTGTACGAGATTTCAGTTGGAGAGTTTTCCATGTGAGCATGCAGTTGCGGTGACCATGTATCGAGGCTTTGCTGCGAGAACGTTGTGCTCTTTGTATTATACGATCGAGTCTTGGAGAACAGCATATGCCGAGACTATGTTTCCTCTGCCGAATGAAGCCGAGTGGTAAGTTCCCGAGCACATTCTCCCATTTCATAATTTGTTACCACCAGCAGTTGAACCGCGTGGTCCTGGACGTCCAAGTACATCTAGAATACCATCTACCGGAGAGTTTTCTCGACCGCGTAGGTGTGGTCGGTGCAGAGCCGTATGGCATACTTGGCAATTTTGTACCAGTCAAATTCCCCTAAATGACGACTAGATAGGTACGTGAAATGAATAATATTTCCTTTTACTTTATATTGTTCAATATTTGTTATTTATAAATCTTCCATATTCAATATTTATTCTCTATAAATGGTATTTATAATAATTTATATGAAAAAAATAGTTCCATATTCGGCATACGGATAAAATAACAAAAAATAATTAAATTTTCAATTTGAATGTTATATACATTGAACACAAATTTACAATTATTTCAGAATTACAAAAATAATTAAATTTACAATTGGAATGTTATATACATTGAACACAAATTTACAATTATTTCATAATTACAAAAATAATTAAATTTACAATTGGAATGTTATATACATTGAACGCAAATTTACAATTATTTCATAATTACAAAAATAATTAAATTTACAATTGGAATGTTATATACATTGAACGCAAACTTACAGTTATTTCATAATTACAAAAATAATTAAATTTACAATTGGAATGTTATATACATTGAACGCAAACTTACAGTTATTTCATAATTATAAAAATAATTAAATTTACAATTGGAATGTTATATACATTGAACACAAATTTACAGTTATTTCATAATTACAAAAATAATTAAATTTACAATTGAAATGTTACATATATATAAATGAAATTTATGGATCAGTATTAAATTCGAACAAATCACATGTTAGCTTTTTTCTCCAATTCTGTATCCACGACTAGTTGATTTTATCAACCTTATGTCCTATACTTAAAAATTCAACGTACTTAATAGCAAATATGCCGCAGTCGTCGCTGCAATTGAACAAGAATGAATCAATTTAGTACTGTGTAAATAAAAACTAAATCTGAAAGATGAAAACAACAACGTTCAAACACTTACCTTATGGACTGTCGCTCTGTCGTCGTGTTCCGAACGATCCGCAATCTGTCCTGTACATTTATCCCCACTCGTCTGGCCATCATAGGAACAATTACAGCCATAGACTCCAGATTTTGCTCCAATTGGCCTTGTGTCAAATATGAATGATCTGGGTCGTACAAATATATAGTCGAGTCAACAAAAACGATCTCCAGCGTAACATAGTGTTTACTGATGCACGCTGGAATGTACATATGTGTACAACCCTCCCATGATTTCCCCCCGACACTCAGTGACAGTCCTATCACCCACTCGAGCATATATTCTGGCACCGTGTACTCGTTATCCATAAGTGCGAGCGACTGATACTCTATGGTAACGGCACCCAGGAACTCGGTGTTTAATATGACTCGACCATGGACATCAAATGATTTTGGATGTCTTTGAGCTCGATCTCGCAGTAAGTCCATGGCCAGGTCGATGTGCTGCAGCAGGAAACACCAAAAAAGTATGAGTTATTCATTTAATAAACACAAGGTCACATATACATAAAAAACACGAAATGAATAGTTCACTTACATCGTCAGCGAGCCAAGCTCCCGCAGTGGTGATATTGTGGAACCACTTGTAAGGGTCCGAGACCGTCCTTTGTCCTATCGTGCGGCTAACTCTGTAAAAAAGAGGGAAATGTTAAATTAAGCGTATACGAGTTAGCGTACAGTGCTTTATTAAAATCATACAATACTTACCCGGGGATAATTCTCCTCCACTCCGTCTCGAACGCTTTCCACTTGGCATTGTCCACCTCTCTGAATAAGTTCGGGTACGTCCCATCGATGAACGTCCTCCTCTTGGCCTCAGCCGTGAAGGGGGAAGCAACATACTGTGACGGCACTCTCAATCTCTTGCCGACCACCTGCTCCGTCTCGTCAACAGCATGTCTCTTACCCTCAATCACGCCGGGCGTCCTCTCGACCTCCGGGGCCACCTCTTCCGCCCCCTCCATCGGGGCCTCCCCCTCCGTCGCCACCTCCTTCGCCCCTTCCGTTGGGGCCACCCCCTCCGTAGTCCCCTCTCCCATCCCCATCGGGGCCACCCCCTCCATAGACAACCACAATGACTCCAATGTCTCATCACGCCAAAAATGTGGGTGACCCCCCTCTCCATCACCATCTCTGCCACCCTCTCGATCATGATCTCCGCCATTCCCTCTGTCCCCCCATCGTCTGCCGGCTAAATTTCCTCTAAGCGCTGCTACTGTATCCTAAAGGTCGACAATGGAAGACTGTAGTATTCCAATATCATGGGATAAATCGTCAACCCTCCATGTCAACTCTATCCCATATCGTTGACCCTCCCCGTCATATAGTCAACCCTCTCTGCCAGATCGTCGACCCTCTCTGTCAATTCTCGTCCCAGATCATCGACCCTCTCCGTCAAATCTCGTCGTAGCGCGCCGACCTCCTCCGCTATAAATCCAGTCAAATGGGCATACAAATCATCATTGTGCCCCGGAGACACACGGGGGAGATGTCTGGACGGAGGTGATGCCAATGGCGGCAGCGATGGCCCCGGCAGTGGTGATGCCACTCGCGGAGGTGATGCCCTTGATGGAGGTGATGCCAATGGCGGGGATGATACTCTCGATGGAGATGATGCCAATGGTGGCGGCGATGCCCTCGGCAGAGGTGATCGTCGATCAACTGGACCGTCCTCTTACATAAATAAAATGAAAATTTATTCAATAAATTATTCAATAAATTTATACGTCGATCATATTCAATAAATTATATTTCATTC